AACATTTTAACTACGCTTTATGACACATTTATTACATTAGGGGCGTCCGTGGTCAAGTGATTAAGATCGTTGACTTCAAACCACTGGCCCCTCACCGCTGTTTGTTTGAAACCCGATAGGGATTTTGGATTCTTTCATCTGAGGAAGCTATCCAGCTAGCTTACAGAAGTTGATGGTTCTACTCAAGTGCCCGTTCTTGTCTGAAATAATGCACGGAAGGGCGCCTGAGCTCTTCCTCCACCACTAAAAGCTGGAACGTCACGATATGGCCTATACTGTGTCAATGTGACATAAAACCCAAACAATAAGACACATTTCTGCACAATCAGAGCAACTTTCATCAGTTGTTTAACGTTTAATATGCTTTAAATCCATTATTAAAACATTAATAAACACATGCTGGACATTTCTTAAGAATTGAAAAATATTGATAATGTGCCTTTAATACAATTCATCATTTCATTTGAAAGGGCATAATGTTATTCCCCTTGTCATTCAGCTGTCTTTTGGCACTCGCATGCGGGTAATTAGGTGACTGTAAGAGTTGTTCATGATACTTCAAATGGTCAAATGTTTATCTCATTGAGAGTGTAGAACCAACATTTAGTGGTAACATTTCAAGATTAAAATGGTTTATCTTACATTTTTGAGTCCACTCTTTATCATTGATGTTCTTTATTCTTTACTTAAATGTTCATCTCATTGAGACAATGTTACATCTCCCTGCTTAGCTCAAAAGGGCAAGTGTGAAACTTGTAATCCAGGGATGGCTGGTTTGATCCTAGGGAGGAGGCGAAATATCTCCCATGATAACTAATCTTGGACATTGAGTCTGTCATTTGTCGTCACCACTGATTTAGATATAATGAGGGAGAAGTGGTCAGTCACTGGTGGAGAACTTGATATTTTAATACTGGTTAGTTATCCAGTAAAGCCAGTTAGGGGGATTGACAACCAAGATATGAACTAAAATTATGTTAAAATAGGCATAAAAATCAAACAGAACAAACATTTGTAGTGCCCTGCTTCAATGTCATAATTTTAAGTCTGCAAAATATATGTCCATGTAATAGGGTCATATGTTTATTTTGTTGAGATTATGTGCATGGCTAGCATTTTAATGCGCTCTGGTGCAAGATCAATGGTAAGAGTTAGCATTTGTGTTGGCTCGATATATCGTTTGCAACTTGAAGGATGTTCACAATATTCGTCATTTTGAAGTGTGATATAAGTTTTGGTGGTCTCAGAATTGAGGCCTGCTGTGGCTTGTGTTGCAGATTTCTATATATTGAATGAGACATTAACAAGTCAAAATGAAATGCTTTATATAATTATTATTATATGTCAACATTTTTGTTTTCAGGAAATCCATTCACCAGAAGTTATTGGAACTTTATATTGAAGAAACTGGTAAACAATCAGATGAAAAGGTAAGTTTTGTAAGGTACAGTAAAATATCAATATTTACAGTTATCACCAAATAATTCTTTTAATTGAAGTTAACTATAGCTTCCACATGTTCAAGGATACAGATTTTGTTTTCATACCCAACAAACAAAGTTAAGGGGAAATATTGTTTTGTTTTATTAACCTGTCAATTACATACTGATTACACGGTCGATGCGCACAGTATATTAATCTTCGGTAGATGTTCGGTAAGTTCCGTGAGATTTACGCTGTACGATGGAATTAAATTTAATTTGTATCTCTAAAATAAGTGTACTCGGCGTTATAGCGCAATGGGGTAAATCACGAGTTTATAATCTAAGTGCCAAACGTGTTTTAAGTTCGAGGCCGCGTTGGTCCATGTTTTTTTCTTATTAATACTTTCAACATTATTGAATCTATAATTATATGATTAATATATGTTGTTCGTTTTTTTATGTTTTACTTAATTTTGTTATGTATATACTCTTTTTAATTAACATGTTTTTTAAGAATTCATATTTAAAATTAAAACAGATTAAAATCAATAAATGTCTTTTCAATGCCGTAAAACACACTGCAAATCTGTTCCATTAAAATACACTGCAAAAATAAAGAAAGAGTACTAAAACAATGGCAACAGTGAGGATCGAACCACAGACCTCTCAATTATTACGACTGTCCTATTGTGAATTAACGAAAACCTTCACGTAAAGTTGGCGTGACTTTCAATCAATGACTAATATACTCCACATTAATTCTCGTAAACTACACGGACCAAACCGAAGTGGGATCGATTATTTAAATGAGTCCTATAATGTGTTCATAATTGACAGGTTAATAAAATCAGACTATATATAGGAGTCAGATTGTCGGTCGGTCCAACGGTCGGTCCACTTCATGGTTTCCGGACAATAACTTGAGTTTAGAATGAGGTATTGTCATCAAACTTGGTATATAGCAACCTTATATAGAAACCCCAGTTGGTATTGCATTTGGATCCCCTGGGGTCAAGGTCGCCTTACAAAAATTGAATTGTAGTTTCTGTCTGTGTCGCTACCAACATACTTACTATGTACGGTAAAGCAGATCTAGCAATAGATACATGTATTTGTCAGTATAGACACCACAATCCGGTCTATATGTGCAAATTTGATACAAAGTAATAACTCAGTTATCTAGAAATGATGATGCACATGTATTTGAATTTGACTTTTTTGACCTGTCAGCATACATGATAAGGATTAAAATCATTGAAATACGGTAACATGAACTGAGGATATTTTAATTAAAACATTTTTTTTTATATATAAATACAGCCACTGAAACATGTAAAGTTGTCAAACCTATCCACATGTATCATTGTATATTGTCATTATAAAAGCTGAAAAAATATTTCATTTGCAAGGTGTCACTTAAGACATTGTAACATGTGGTTAGTTTATTGTGAGTTGCGACCTGTATTGGACATGAACCATTGTTTCATTGCCTATCATAACATTTTATCTGACAGTTTAAGACTTTTATTATGTTTTAAATGTTTTGTCTATACATTGCTGATGTCATATGCTTATCGATTCACTTGAAACATCTTGATTCTCCCTTAATCTGTATCTTTGTAGTGGATATGAACTTATGTAGAATTGTTGAATTTTCGAAGTTACATAAGCTTTTTTTCATGCAGGGTCAGCAATTGTAAATTTCTGCTCAAAATCAAATATTTTAAAGGTTAATATTACTGCAACATACATAACATTCATTTTGTTTATTTCGAGAATGAGCAAGATATAGACAAAGCAAATCCGGACGCACATACACCGAACTATAAGCCAAAACATGACAATTTTGAACTCAATTGATTCATAAAAGATGCGCGGCAATGATGTCATTTAAAGCACGCAACTTGTCTTACATGGGGGTGTAAGACTGGTGTAAACAGTAGATAATCCTGTCTGATATGCAAGAAAATACTGTATGAACTATATACTAGTATATATTTTACTTACATTTATCAAAGCTTTTCCTGAATGTTATTTTCATGTTTTTATTTTCTTTTATCACTTCAGAAATTACAGTGTAACACACATTTGCTGAGAAAGTTAGTGCGACGTGAAAAATTGAACTGTTTGATATTAAACCTGTATCCTGGTAACGATGGTTACTCTTTGATGTTGAGAAGTAAAACTGGTGTAGAAACTGAAACATGTAAACTTCCCTATGAGGTCAGTGTCATACATGAGATATGTCCCTAATTTATAATTATGTTAAAGGGACTCCACTGTGTTTTTGGCCGGGTTGCACTGGTGCAAACCCGGGTTATAGTATGGTGAATGTTGGGCGGCGGGCGGGCGGTGAAAAAACTTTCGGAATAGTTTTCTCAGCAACTACTTATCACAGCCTTTTGATATTTGGTATACAGCATCAACACATGGTCCCATACTGTGGGATTCGATTTCAGGTCTGTCGCTCATCTACTTCCTGTTTGCTGACTTAGTTAAATTTTCAACATTAATGGTCAATAGTAAGAAATTTTCGTAACAGTTTTCTCAGCAACTACTTATCACAGCGTCTTGATATTTGGCACACAGCATCAACACATGGTCCCATACTGTGGGATTCGATTTCAGGTCTGTCGCTCATTCACTTCCTGTTTGCCGACTTAGTTAAATTTTCAACATTAAAGGGGCTACACTGAGGTCTGACAGGTAATTTGGTGTCCAAAAAAAATGTAAACAAATTTCTTCACAAATCACAATATTATGACTAAAATAACAATAACTTACACTTTAACCAACCCTCTAACAACAATTATGCTAGAAAATGCATTTTCACATTAGCTTTTGATGCAAAAATGAAAGTTGGTTTTCCCAGACATGTACAGAAGTTACCCACAATTCATCGGGTATGACTAAAATACGCAACGGACATTTTTGGAACAACAGAGTAAACGGGGGTAAAAAAGTCTATTGATTTTTTCTCTTCACTCTAACCTATCTGACATGTTTATATAACTTAAGTATAACGAAGAAAAACTGTATAAAAGATAATCAAGGTAGCAATTTCGTTGTCTTGAAAAAACAAACGCCAGCGAAGCGGACATTTTCTAGACAAAACGGAAAGATATTATATACATGTACAATTATTTTCATTGACATTTCAGTTTCAATTTCAATATTTTAAGGCAAACATAATGCATCGGTGATATTTATACTATAACGAGCACAGTGTAATCACACTAATAAATGTATTTAACACTATCTATAACGTATTTAAATCAAATACAGTTAATGATATGTCTCATTTGATTTGATTGTTTTTGGGATGTAGTGGGGGTTACGTCACACAAGACTGTGTAGGTCATTTTAGCGACTCTTCAGTTTTACTGGTGGAGTAAGAACTCAGGTGCCCCCTTTGCAAAATTGTTTCTGGCACAAACAGGCATCTGTGTATGTAATGAGTTACGTTTCGTAGGCTATCTTGATAGGATCGTACATACACGTTCCACACACAATTACATCATATTCATACCATAGGCAAAATTAAATGCACGTTCCCTGTTGTAACAATATGAAACCCCAGAAAAAAACCTATGAACCAGCTTCTGAATGTGGCATTTCTATCGTTATTCCAAAAAAAGCACCCCCCCCCCAAAAAAAAAAAAAAAAGAATGAGTACATCAATGGGCATGCTCTGGAGTGTTGGGAACTATTACCTGCACTCCAGTTACGCACTGTGCATGTATATGAATTCGATTTAACTCTGACTCGTTTTCAACAGAAAAGTCTTCAAACTATGATACAATAAATGTTTATGATTCTATTAGAAACTTGTTTAGAATTTAATGATTTTTCGGTGAAAACGATATAAATTACTTGTGCTACAGATGAGATCAAAGTGCTGAAGGCACTGAAGAAAAAAACGGATAAACTAACACATTTTCACTCCAGTTTCACAGGTAAATGAATTTTATGTGTCGCGGTTTACATCTTAATATCAGCTAACCTTTGCTTTTTGCGACTTTTGTTTTTGAAAATAATCTAAACGAGTAAAATAAACCCTCTTTTATGGGCAAATAATTTAATAAGTAGCAACCCCGATTTCTCTTTCATAAATTGGCTTTAGCAAATTCTCTTCTATTCAAATATTAAGAACATTCTGTCAGTGACGTGTCTTCTAATTGAAATCTTCCTGGTGAGTATGTTTCGGTAACAGGAAGAAAATGACAGTCTGTTCGTATTTTCGGTAACAGGAAGAAAATGACAGTCTGTTCATTTGATCATGACTGTGAAAAATCATGTTTTGTGAACCAATTTATCCTGCCGATAAAGATTTTGCAAGCAATCTGGTTGTTTATGTTCAAGTGCTTACACTTAGTATTTAATTCCAAAGAACATTTCTTAGGAGACATTAAACGTTTGATTACAGTTTAATCACTGTAACCGAAATACTTAGGAATTAATTTTAATTCCTGTTACTGTGAAATTTTTCGTTCATGTTTTTAAAATACTTAAGTAGCTCTATAAATTTTCAAAACGATATCCAGTATTTCCGAAACAATCAGAAAGGCTTCTAATACATACTCTTATAAATCTTAAAGTATTACGAGAACCACCCACCTAATATCCAGAACATACATACGAAAAACAAGATAAATCAAAAGGCTGCAAGCTCTGTGGTATTTTCTGATCTTTGCAATCTAAATCGCACTTTAAAACTGTATTATTTTCCTGTATAAGTTTATTTTTATGTACTATAATTCTTCTTGCTTGGTACCAGAGTTTGATACATATGGAATTTTTCATGACTATGGTTGCATCAAAAAATCATTTATGTTCATTTTTATGACAGTCATACTTTATCCTTGCATATCGTGGCTATTTCCTTAACAAAGAAACTTTATAAAAACTAATTGCCTTGAATTGGATTTGAACCCCAGACACACTAAACGAGCGCGTTACCCTTGCACCACGGAGAAGATATACGAACAATGCCTGAATAAAATCAAGTAATACTAAATTTAGATTTTCCATTGCATTTCGGGTTTGTAATCCTTATTAATTTCGAGGTTTTTTGTTCAAGAAAAACCTGTTGTTTAACATTGATGTAAATAATTTAACAAAAATCTTCCCGCCAAAACATTCCGACATGTATATATTCAACTACTCGACAGTCAGATTTATTTGTGAAATACGCTCTCGACATCGCTTAAAATAGCATTTTCATTGATTAAAATGATATTCATCCGCGTAATTTGTGAATGTGCATTCATTGACAATTCTGTAACCCAAAGCTACTTTTAAACTTTGAATGCGTTGTAATTTGTTGGATACTTATAACAAAATGAAAATATTTCTTTCTTTTAAATCGCTAGTTTTCAGCTGTTTTAAGAACTGCTTGTTGTTAGGTTTGTCGTGAAACCGCTGTGTCAGAGATATATGCAACACCCACACAACCAAGCAACACAGGACCACAGCTAAATTATCAATGAAAAATTTAATTTCAGGCTTTCAAGTGGTAAATAAAAAGACTAAACAAAAAAAGAGAAAACAGGAAGAAAGAAGAGACAAAAGTAGAGAAAAGTAAAGGTTTTAGTGCTATAAAGCAAGAAAAGCAGGGTTCTCTTCCTAACTTAGTTATGCAATGAAATGCACCCGATCAATATTTAGCCATTGCAATTTTTGAAACCAGTCACTCGTGTTTTCAAAATAGTCGGGAAATGAACCTGACCTTTTTTATCAAAATATTTAAAAATCTATTAGCAATGAGTATGCCATGATAAACAGGCTATAAGGAGTAAAAACAATGGTTAAGATATGCATTGCCCTTTCCCAAGTTTATACCGTCTAGGAGTTGGAAGTATTATAAAACATAGTTTAAGCAATGGTTGTTGTATGAGGTGAGGTTAATACTATCTTACTGAATTCTTAAAGTTACTTTTACTTACCTGCCCTTCACATTTGTCTTGCAAGTATCATGATTTTGTTTGTTTCGTTTAATTTGAAAGATAGTTAGGGTTTAAAGAACAACAACTATATAATCAGTTTTAAGTTTATTTCACTAGTCACGGCAATAGCCCTGCTGTGGAAGCTTGACTGTGTTGGGGGCTGCGTCCTGTGAACGTTACCGTCGCCTTGTTTGTCTTTATTCCAGTTTTCCTTTTTTACTCTTATAACGCTCTCAATTTCTTTTCCACCGGGAAGCTTCAATATATTGGTAACATTAAAGGACAGCTCAATTGACCCATCACTAGTACGGAGGCCTTCCAATAAAAAAGAAATTTATCAGGATATCTGCTAAATCAATAATGATAATAATTATATTAATAGAGCCAGATTGTAACTCTTTTCAGACCTTCTTGATAATGTTTACCATGTGCATGAAACAGGTTATAGTTTTGAATGTCTAGATCAAAACGTAGTAATCTTCTCATCAACAAAGTTTACATCCAATGCGGATAACTATGCTAGTATGTATGTAAAATGATAAATATTAAATTTCAGATCTATCTAGCAAAGGAGATCGATTTTTCATTATAGAATTTTAATTATAAATAATATGCACTAGACATACATAAGAAATATTAACTAATAAAATTGAAGCCTAAATGTCCTTTAATGAGGCCGGATTCATTCTCTATTTAGCCAGTGCTTTCAGTGCTTTGATCAGAGTTAAAGAGAAATCTCTGGAATAACATTCTGTGTGTGCGTGTGATTTTTTATGCTTACAATACTCAAGTTCATGTTCATTGTATAAAAGGTATTACGAAGTTTTTTTTCCTGAACGGGTGTCAGATAAACCAAAGTGACCTTTGAAATAGGACCCATAACACTGATTGACAAAGTAAATTTTCTTAGCCTAGATATCAGGATATTTTAACCATTACAAAGTTAATACATAATATTTAATAATTACACGAAAGCTCTCAAATTAACATAGAATATTTGTAAAATTTGTGTATGTCAGTTTCCAACTCCGTACGTTTAGCTAAATTCATCATTGTAATGGAGAAAAAAACATGATTACAACAATGTAATGCTTTAAATATATTGAAATTGCTTTTGAAAGATTTTTCTCACAAGAACATATGTGAACAACAAGAAATTTAACAAACAAACCCATAATTTGCTTTTAAATTTATGGATTGTTGGTATATTCCACTTTCACACTTTCGTTGCTGGCGATACACAAAAAAATCTCCGTTTCGCTTTTTAGTCATCCCGACAATCATCACGTGACCGTTGTTTTTATTCAGATTTGCAAACTGAAAGGTGTTTAAACGCTTTTCCCACAAAATTGGAGAAAATATGTATTTCAAACGATTTGCCAATCCAAAGAACACATATCAATGTATCACTGATTCTGTTTGAATGTCCCTAACACGCAGGTAACAAAAAATTATCGGTTCGTGAAATTTTACTTTTTTTTGTGACATTCGGCCGTACCTCAGTGGGGTCAATAGTAGGAAATTTTCGTAACAGTTTTCTCAGCAACTACTTATTACAGCATTTTGATATTTGGCACACAGCATCAACACATGGTCCCATACTGTGGGATTCGATTTCAGGTCTGTCGCTCATCTACTTCCTGTTTGCTGACTTAGTTAAATTTTCAACATTAATGGTCAATAGTAAGAAATTTTCGTAACAGTTTTCTCAGCAACTACTTATCACAGCCTTTTTATTTTTTGGTATACAGCATCAACACATGGTCCCATACTGTGGGATTCGATTTCAGGTCTGTCGCTCATCCACTTCCTGTTTGCCGACTTAGTTAAATTTTCAACATTAATGGTCAATAGTAGGAAATTTTCGTAACAGTTTTCTCAGCAACTACTTATTACAGTCTTTTGATATTTGGTATACAGCATCAACACATGGTCCCATACTGTGGGATTCCATTTCAGGTCTGTCGCTCATCTACTTCCTGTTTGCTGACTTAGTTAAATTTTCAACATTAATGGTCAATAGTAAGAAATTTTCGTAACAGTTTTCTCAGCAACTACTTATCACAGCATCTTGATATTTGGCACACAGCATCAACACATGGTCACATACTGTGGGATTCCATTTCAGGTCTGTCGCTCATCTACTTCCTGTTTGCTGACTTTGTTAAATTTTCAACATAATGGTCAATGGTCTTAAATTTTCATAACAGTTTTCTCAGCAACTACTTATCACAGTCTCTTGATATTTGGTATACAGCATTAACATGTGGTCACATACCGTGGGATTCCATTTCTGGTCTGTCGCTCATCCACTTCCTGTTTGCTGACTTAGTTAAATTTTCAACATTAATGGTCAATAGTAAGAAATTTTCGTAACAGTTTTCTCAGCAACTACTTATCACAGCGTCTTGATATTTGGTATACAGCATTAACACATGGTCCACTACTGTGGGGATTCGATTTCAGGTCTGTCGCTCATCCACTTCCTGTTTGCCGACTTAGTTAAATTTTCAACATTAATGGTCAATAGTTGGAAATTTTCGTAACAGTTTTCTCAGCAACTACTTATCACAGCGTCTTGATATTTGGTATACAGCATCAAACACATGGTCCCATACTGTGGGATTCGATTTCAGGTCTGTCGCTCATCTACTTCCTGTTTGCTGACTTAGTTAAATTTTCAACATTAATGGTCAATAGTAAGAAATTTTCGTAACAGTTTTCTCAGCAACTACTTATCACAGCGTCTTGATATTTGGCACACAGCATTAACATATGGTCCCATACCGTGTGATCCGATTTCAGGTCTGTCGCTCATCCACTTCCTGTTTGCCGACTTAGTTAAATTTTCAACATTAATGGTCAATAGTAAGAAATTTTCGTAACAGTTTTCTCAGCAACTATTTATCACAGCCTTTTTATTTTTTGGTATACAGTATCAACACATGGTCCCATACTGTGTGATTTGATTTCAGGTCTGTCGCTCATCCACTTCCTGTTTGCTGACTTAGTTAAATTTTTAACAATAATGGTCAATAGTAGGAAATTTTCGTAACAGTTTTCTCAGCAACTACTTATTACAGCCTTTTGATATTTGGTATACAGCATCAACACATGTTCCCATACTGTGGGATTCCATTTCAGGTCTGTCGCTCATCCACTTCCTGTTTGCCGACTTAGTTAAATTTTCAACATTAATGGTCAATAGTAAGAAATTTTCGTTACAGTTTTCTCAGCAACTTCTTATCACAGCCTTTTGATATTTGATATACAGCATTAGCATGTGGTCCCATACCGTGGGATTTGATTTCAGATCTGTAGCTCATCCACTTCCTGTTTGCCGACTTAGTTAAATTTTTAACATTAATGGTCAATAGTAGGAAATTTTCGTAACAGTTTTCTCCACAGCCTCTTGATATGTGGTTCACAGCATTGACATGTGGTCCCATATTGTGGGATTCCATTTCAGGTCTGATGCTCATTCTTTTCCGGTTTACCAACTAAGTTAAATTTTCAACATCAATGGTCAGACAGTGGTACAAAATTTAAGTAACGTCATCACAGCCTCATGATATTTTGTATACATATGCGACCTGGCTTTTTCTGTCTTTGACCCATTTTTTTGGTATGATGGGACTGGAAATATATTTTTGAGAATACGGTTCCATTTGATGTAGGTCTATACCAGTGTAAAGTTTCAGATCATTCACTGTCTCCGATTTTGTAAAAAATATTCTATTTGTGCAAAATGACTCAAAATTGAAAAGCATTGCACTCAGGGCGGGCTAAGAAGAGCTCATAAATACGATTTTCAATTTATTTTTGAGTATATTTCTATTTCTTTTGCATATCTTTCTTTTTTGAGTGCCCCAGTTGATCTATGTAAGAAATTATAATTTTCGTTTTTTTAGGCTTTTGAAATTCAGTAGAGTTCCTTTAATTGTGATGTGTTTGATATACTGGTTTGTAGGAATGTCCATAAGTAATATCCTAGTTATTGTGTTAGATGCTATAAAGGAATGTTCCAGCTTTATACTCTGGTCGTAATGTGTTTGATATGGTAATAAACAATTATACTTTGAATATATCAAATATAGCTACATCATTGTACAATGTACATTAAATGTTATATTTTACATTGATCATTCTGAGATGAAGGAGCATTATATGAGCCGCGTCATGACAAAACCAACATAATGGGTTTGCGACCAGCACGGATCCAGACCAGTCTGACCAGGAGCCATGCTGTTCGCTATCAGTTTCTTTACTTGTTATTGGGTCTGTAAGCGAACAACATGGATCCTGATCAGACTGCACGGATGCGCAGGCTGGTCTGGATCCATGCTGGTCGCAAACCCATTATGTTGGTTTTGTCATGACGCGGCTCATATATACATATTTTGATAACTCAAAGCTTAAAGTAAGAGACCTTTTGTTATATATGAAACAGGTTTTTAATCTTTTGATTGCAGGTGACAGAATTGCTAGACTACATAGATGATTCAGAGGTACAGTGTCATTTTAATGTATTTTCTAAATGAATGGTATTATTTTAAATGTTTCAAAATTAAATATTTTTTATTAAAACTAAGTGGTCATGTGCTTTTGAGTTTGAAACTACCCATAGTTTATGTGAAAAGTTTTTTTTATATAAAAATGTTAAAATTATTCAACAGTATAGATGTTTTTCACATAGCAATTATTACCTCCCCTTGCCGCCATTTTGGGGTCATATATATATAATTATGCTTATGATAAAATAAAAATCTCAAATAATTCTATCATCTTTATGAAAACTAATAAGTAAATTTTTTACATATTTGTGTTTTAATAATATTTTGTTGCATATGTTTAAAAGAATTTGATGGTAAATATTGTTTTATTTTTTTTATATTTTGTCAATAGAATATTTAAAATGGCTGCCTTTTTTTACTATTGTAAAATTGGGAACTATCTAAACAGTCATGGAAGCATAGTCATAGTTGTTGTCTGGTGTGGCTATAGCAGAAGTAGACTAAGAATTATAGAGTATTGATTCATTGTTACTTTGGTTACGTTCATAAGATGTTAAAAGAAGGCAAGTTTACATTGATATGTTCAAATTATAATTTACAAAATATGATTGTTTATATTTTTAGCTTCCTCCATTCCTTGTAGATGTGCTGGAGAAAGCACAGGTTTGTTAATATATATTTAATATTAATGTTTGATATTATATTAATTAACATCTATTTACTTGTTATGCAATTTCATAACCAGTGTTTTAAATACATATAGCTGACAGCAGTACTGGTAAATTAACAGCCATTCAGCCCCACCACTGATTTGTATGATTTATGTGTAGTAGTTGTCAGTTATATATTGAAACACAGGTTAGAAATAGTACAGAAACCAGGAAGACACATTAAGTAACAGTCCACTGGTGGGTGACTGAAATTCTCCTTTAAATCCCTTAAACCAACAAACAAACAAAAAAAAACAAGTTTGTTTATGCTTTTCAGTGTAAGTAACATCATTTGACATGTTATGGCAATCTTACAGAATGTTTGTTTTTCTCTGTAGATGCCTAGTATTGTGAATAAAGTAATGCTTAGTGTGGCTTCTTAATGTACTATTATGTTGACATATGTCCTTAACAGTGACACTGTGGCATAAAAACGGAACATAAATACATTATTTACAATAATATACACCCAATAATATAAACGATGTTGAATATTTTCTTGTTTGAAAGTGCCAGATATGAATTCTTTGCATATAAATATATTTATTTTTTAGTTTAAAATATTTTAGGTGAATGTTTTCTACAATGGTTGTGTGATAGTGGAGGTGAGAGATTTCAGACGTGCTACTAATGGAACATTTGATATGCAATATGTTCTCCTTAAACCAAATACACAGGTAATGGAACATTTGATATGCAATATGTTCTCCTTAAACCAAATACACAGGTAATGGAACATTTGATATGCAATATGCTCTCCTTAAACCAAATACACAGGTAATGGAACGTTTGATATGCAATATGCTCTCCTTAAACCAAATACACAGGTAACAATGGCCTCTATCTGTATCTTAAATTGAAAACAAAATGTGTACATTTATCATAAGCTCAACTATACATAGTATATGGAGAGCTGTCCTACTCACCCCGGCGTCCGCTTCCAGATTAAATTTTGGTGCAGTTAAATAGTTTTCACTATAACTTTGTCATTTCTTAAGTTATCAGCTTCAAATATATGTTCCATATCATCAACCACATCTTATGTGGCAAGGTTCATAACTCTAGCACCAATATTTTTAGATTTATCTCCCCTTGAACTTAGAATTTTCCTTAAAAAATACTATATTTTACTGTAACTTCTTTATTTCTTAAGAGATCAACTTCATACTTCAAATATATGTACCTTATCATTAACCACATGTTTTGTGACAAGGTTCATAACTCTAGCACCAATATTGCAAGAAGTATCTCGCCATCAATTTTTTTACTTGAAAAATGTTATTTTTTACTATAACTTTTTTAGTATTAAAGGTATCTACCTTAAACTTCAAATACTTATTCCTAATCATCAATTACATTTTATGTGAAAAGGTTCATTACTCTTGAAGCAATATTTACAGATGTATCTCTCTTTGAACTTAGGATTTTTTTTAAGAAATATTAAAACTTCTTTACTTTTTAAGTTATCTACTTCAAACTTCAAATATATATTTCTTATCATTACACACGTTTTGTGACAAGGTTCATAACTCTAGCGTGACTATTTCCAGAATTATTCCCCTTGATCTTTGAATTTATGTTAACAATGTTATTTTTTTACTACAGTGGAACCTGTCTAATCCGAACTCGTCCGGACCAGAAGAAAAGTTCGGATTAGAAAGGTTTCCGGATTAGAAAGGTTTCCGAATTAGAAGGTTCTTTTACATATTTTTTCATGTTACATGTATTTGCAAAAAAATTTAGGGAAAGAAAACTGGAATGCATTTGAAATTGCAATTTAGATATTTTATTTTTGCAGTCTCTTATCATTCATTCTAATACATGTGAATACAAAAATAAAGAAATAAAAATAAATAAATAAGCAAAAAAATATTATGTCCTCAAGGGTAAGTTAACCTACGATGTAAAACAGGAGGTGGAGACATAATTAAATATTCGTACCAGCATTTGTCAATTGTTGTTTACTCTTATTCGATTCAGCGACTATCCGAATTCACTGACAGTTTCTATTAATTTTCATTGCTTAATCACGTTTCATTGAATCCATTACAAAGGATTTAAAGATATTTTTATTGCATTGTATCAAAATAGTTATTGAAGGTGGCGAAAAACAACCAATTAACACATTGCTTCATGAGCATTTTGTGAAAAATGGCTGTTTTCATTGAAAAGTCTCCCGTTACAAGTTCAAATTGCTATAATACTATAAAAACTGCTTCAACACTAATCAAACTTGGCACAAATGTTGCCTGGACCATTGCTCTTGCAACAACATGCTCAGGCTTAAATTTTCTGTTACCATGGCAACGAGGGGACATCTCAAAATTGCCAAAAATCACTATTTTGCGTTGATTTTTTCCATCAAAATTGATTTCAAAGTGCTGCAACTTCTCAATGGATTGAGATAGAGTCAAATGCTTTTCAGCGTTGGTTACACGTTACCTTATGATCAATCTGGGGTCATTTACAGCCTCTCACAAGTCCAAAATTTTCTTGGCGATGAGGGGGACTCCGCCCCCCTTCAAACCCCCCCAAATAGAAGGGGGCACATCCCCCTTCTGGCAACCCCCTGATGTATCTTTTGGTTGGGGGGCCGAGCCGAAAAAGAGGTCACTTTTTTTAACAACATTTCTCAAACAAAAACAAGTGTTTGGGGCCTAAATAAGGCATTTTTTCATCATTTGAGACAACAAAAGGGGGGGGGGGGGTGAAAAAGGCGTTAAAAGGCGTGTATATGAAGTAATGGGTTAAGCAATTATAGAAGATATGAAGGCAAGCTAAGTGTAATTTTCACACCTTCGCAGATCATACGTTTCACCCATTAATCAAGTGAAATAACACATCAGTTTGGTGTACGTTTACACCTGCAAGATGTGTGATTATTTGTTATTTAGAATGAAGGTGTGACATTTGGCAAAATCTGTTCGGATCCGAGAGGTAAATTTTAGAGTTAAATAAGAACAAAAATTGAAAAAATTGTCCGGAATTCGGAGTAGACAGGTTCCGGATCCGAAAGGTTTTTTAATATTGAAAATAAAACGAATAAAATTGGGACTGGACACTTCGTTCGGATAAGAAAGGATTCCGGATTAGAAGGGTTCGGATTAGCAAGGCTCCACTGTATAACATAATATATAATTATACATAATTGATTTTTCGTTCATAGTTTTGTCTTCCTTACTGTGTCCAGTATTTTATTAGTTGAGCTTCACTGTCTCCTGTGACAGCTCTTGTTTTTAGTCTATACTAATTATTATATTCAGTTGCCAGATTTAAGTTACCTAGATTTTTATGCTACCACCATTTAGGTGTAGGTGGGGGAGTATGTACATGTAGATTTGCAGTGGAATGTGGGAGAATAATTTTTAAAAAAGTGATTGTTATCAATTATTATTATTAAGATTAATATAAACAATAACAAAGTGAAGAAAGAAAATATTATAGATATATTTGAATATTTTATGGTACAATGTTTATGTTTATAAATTGTTGGGAAACTTTTTAAGGATATCAAAATTTAACAAATTGGGAAATGTATGGAACGGGAAGATTTTTTTTTTGGGAGAGAAAGTTACTTCTGGCTACAGGGGCCCCTTTCCCTCGATCCACCCCACTGTGGTACAGGGGCAAACCGGGGAACGGGTATGGGGAAAAACAAAAACACCCCCTCTGAAAAGGTTTGAGTTGATCCCAAAATTCTTTACTACTTTTAATCTTTAGTTTACAAAAATTACTACTGTTAAAACTAGCCTGTTTGGCCGTTGGTGGTTTTACTCAGGTGCAGGTACATGCCTGAAATAATGCATGGATGGGCAACTGCGATTTTCCTCATAAGCTTAGTATCTTCTATATTTACAATGTATGTAGGTATGTAAAGAAGTATATTTACAATGTTTATAGTTACGTAAAGAGCTATATTTACAATGTATATAATTATGTAAAGAACTATATTAACAATGTATATAGGTATGTAAAGAAGTATAACCAGTCTGCTGCCAACAGGAAGCGAAAATTTGCTGCATGTAGTGCACCAAGTGAACTCAAACTTCATGATTTCATCAGTAAAAAGAAGGATAAAAAGACGAGCAGTAAATTTGGAAAATCTGTAAGTTTTATAAGAGATAAATGCTTTATTTATGCATATAAGTAAAGATGAAAGCAGGCCAGTTTGCATATCTCTGCTGTTTAATATATTCTACAAACTGCTTAATTCTTGAAGGCATAGATCCCTACATGACCCTTATCTTTTCAGATTGAATAAGTGGATTTTTATATATATATATGTTAAAATCTATTGTTTTTCAAATAAAAGATCAGAGTAGGGATCTATCACTACCAGACTGTTATAACTTCAAAAAAGACTTAGGAAAATATTAACATTATGATTGTGTGTGTCTTTTCTAATCTGTATCACAATAATCCTAGTCATGGTTTGCTTCATTTGTTGTCTATGTAAAGGGAAGTAATCTTTAAATTTGAAATAGATTGTTAATTGAAACAGATGAATTGACAGTGATGCTGTTCTTTAATTATAAATAATGTTTCTTTTGAGTAATATGTTGTTATATGCTTTAAATAAAACTTCAAATTGTAATCTAAAATTTTATCTTTTACAGGCAGTTGACTACTGGAAACAAAGTCCTGTAATATTATCAGCACCAGAAAGTGTGGATGTGGAGAGGTTTGCTAAAATCATGGAAAAACCAGAGAAAAACAGTGTTAAAGACAACACCTTGGTAAATGTTTTATTATAATAATTATTATAATAATTGTAATAGTTGATGTATCATAGTATTTATAAAATATTGAGATATTTGTTTGTTGTTTTATTCCAATTTAAATGAAAGTTTCTTGATCAACAAAACTGAGGTCTGGCAATGTAACTTGAAACTCAGTTATGATGACAAATAGTTTCAGTGAAGTTTGTTGTTTCTAGTCACAGCCATGGTGTCCTTTTATTTTCTTGCATATCAATGAATGAATAGTGTTCTAAGGATGACATCAGTTTTCTGTTATGAATGAAGCTGTACTTTCATATTAAGTGCTTCTTTAAGAAAAAAGTACTGAATGAAAGTACTAATCCCATGATTAATATGTAATATGCAATAAAAAGAATCAAACACCAACTGTCATTACAGATGTGAGTATCTTTCATTGGGTAACTGTTTAGCAGAAACTTAGCAGAGCCTTGTTACTGCTGTATACAGTTACCCTCAAAGTAGATATATGGGTCTGTACTGGCATCTGGTGTAAGGTTTTCATATGTTCAATGAAATCAACAATGTCTCATTGTAAATTTTTTATTTTACATAATTATGTAGATGACAGGTACAGGTCATTTTTATTCTTGTAAGTCAACTTTTCTTATGATTATAATTTGAGCCGCATTACAACAAAACCAACATAGTGCGTTTGCGACCAGCATGGATCCAGACCAGCCTGCACATCCGCGCAGTCTAATCAGGATCCATGCTGTTCGCTAACCAGCCCTATTCCAAGTAGAGAAACTGATAGCGAACAGCATGGATCCTGATCAGACTGCGCGGATGCACTATGTTGGTTTTGTTGTGACGTGGCTCATTTCATCTTTTGATAAAGAAGATTTGAAGTAAGTATGTACTGTTATACAGAATCTAGTAGAAGAGCATGTATTAGAGAGAGATGGTATGCAGGATAAGAAGTTACTGGCTAAACTGACCATTTACCATCGTCCTGGTGATGATGCTCATCTAGGTGAACTCTACCTCGATCATGACTACATAGAGGAGAAATCTAAGGGAGCTACCTGCAGGTAAAATAATTTATGTGACTATTGATGACTGTCAGTCATTTTTTCAAGAAATGCAGATATTTTTATGACACCACTACTTAAAGATTTTGTATGTTTTGTGATTGATGTTGCTACTGTGTGTATACCATACTTGCAAAAAATTACATATGTATAAATTATGCAAATAAAACAATTTTCAAACATCGAAGAATATGTAAAATGTGTACTGCAAATATTTGTGCACATAATATTTAATCAATAAATTATATGTATTCATTTCTTATTGGAAACTTTGGCTTAGAATTTATAGAAAATAAATTTCTAATTACCTCCCTTTATTTACATTAAATGTTAAATTCGGTAATATCTTTATAAATAATGCTTATTGGAACTTACAGTATTGACAAATTTTAATTTGAGCATCATATCTATGAAATAAACCATGAAAAAAATGTGTTACAGGATCTTTAAAGATTGTGAGGAATGTTATTGTTGTTGGGTTAGTTTGTCTTTTCAGCTTAAATAATGACCTTTAACATCTTAAGCAAAAGTACATTTTGAAATAAGACCTTGCACCTGGAATGACCTTAATTTGTGAATAAATTGTTGAAATTTTCTAGGTAATTGTTTGCTTATATTTGTAAAAAGGTTGTAATTTTTATTTGCTTCTAATGCCAGTTTAATTCATTATTGTTTTGAAGACATTTCCAATAGTTTCTTCATATTTTATATAACAAGAGACAATCAATGTTCAAAACACGTCAGGAAGTCAAATATAATATTTGAGAAATCAACATAATTATACTGTCTATAAATTTTATTAATATATTTCATTAGGTGGAGCTTTAAACCCTTTAAATGTTTGCCATTTAAACATTGTTCTCTGTTAATACTTGCATTAAAAATATTTGACAATTCTCTTTTGTTTTCTTCAGATTTCTGCTTGGAAATAAAGATTCAGTCAAAAAGTAAGTTTGATGGTAGTATATGTTTGTAAAGTACTTTCATCCTAGGTAATATCTGTTTTTAAGATATTTGTTTTTATTTGAAGTTGAATTGGTTGCCATAGATACATGAGTAAGTATCATATCATGTATCACTAGAATGTCTCGGATTAATTTTTTGTTTTTTGTTTTTTAAATCTTTCAAATTGATTACACCATATTGACAATACAATGAAAGGCTGATTATTTCATGCAATACAGTTTAAATTGCTAGAACTAGTTGACCATCATGATAGTTTAATATAGGTCATACAATGTGTACACAGCTGTAAAACCTATAATGGAACAGGGTGTATTAAATATAGATTTTTTAGCTGTGTAATGAGTCCTATAGAATCAGTATTGTATTCAGTAATTCATAATTACCTCTTTATTTCACACCACCACTATTTTTTTACATGTTCACAGAACTTAGTTACTTTAAGTACAATATGGATTTGATATGGATTTTTTTGGATCTAGAAAATGAAAAGAAGGCTATTTAGAGTGCAATATGGATTTGATTTTTAACTTTTGGACTTTCAGAATGAAAATTAGCCTAAATTGATAAGATTGGATTCAAAATTTATTTATATTGGAAGATCACATGGTGCAAAAGCATTAATTACATTGATGATTTAAAATAAAAGGTATTTATGTATAGTATAGTGCAGGTATTTATTAGTTTATATTTTGTACTGCAGATATTTAGATCAGTTTCGGGAGATATTTACAGAGGAAGGTCGAAGGGCTGTTAAGATCACCACACAGAGACCGGGTCAGGCTCCTATAGTAACCTGTACACAGACAACACCAACAACCATTGCCACAGCAACAGTAAACCAAACTGCTACCAAACCTGTATCTACTGCTGCACAGGTAAAATTAACAAATAATGATGTAAACATGTCTTAATATCATTTTAATGATATAAACATTTATGGCTTTAAAACCCATTAATGATTCCTGATTTGGTAGACCTCTTCCCTTATAGCATTAGTGAACATTCTCAACCTTGTTTGCATTAGACATTTAAACGCAATATATTAGTGTTGAACAGTTAAACAAAGAAAATACAAAGCTTGTTTATACCTTTATTATTTCAAAATCATTTATTTTTTGCACAAACAATGTGGCCTTTTAAAAAGAGAACTGTCAAAAATTTAATAGTATGATGGTCAAAAACACAAGTTGGTATGCATCATAAGTAATCAGAGTATTGTATGAGATTGACTTAAGAGTTCTGTTAAAAGTGGGAACAAGTTGCTTTGAATGGAAGTGGTCATAGACCTGGCTTATAAACTTAAATATTTGATATATATATGATCATGTTTAATGTTTCAGGCTGTTGAGTTATCTCAAAGTGCTACTATGAGTCTAGGTAGTTTAAAGAGATCTATGCCTATACAGTTATCATTGTCTATAGGTCCTACCTTAGGTACAGCCCAGGCTGCACAGCAGATCCAGCAAGCAGGTAGGTTATGTACATTTATGTCTCATATATCCGGTTATATTAAGGGGTCACAAGTTTGATCCTTCACTACTTCAACTTCAGAAATAAGTTTTTAAAGTTAGACATAAGTTTAAGTTAGGTGTACTAATGATTCACACTTTCTCTCTGCCAAAAAGCCTGATGTGTCTTTTTGAGCAAAGAAAAATCTCTGTATTAGTCCCACTGAAATATGATATATAACATATTTCTGGATTGTTCACCATTGTCAATTAAAATTAGGAGGAATAAAATTTATTGCAACAACAGAGTGTAAATAAACAAAGTATTAAACAAAACTGTCTCCTGTATAACTTTGCTTTATCTGTTTTCATGGTAATGTAAAGTGTTTTATTTACCATTGTAAACTGCATTTGGCCATCATGGTTGAAAAGTTACAGTCTCTGACTTGCCCTTTACTGATTTTGGGTTTACTACTTCAATTATTTTACTTAAAGAAATTATGATGTTTCAGATGGAAGTTTGTGTGTTTGTGTTTTATATGTAATACTAAGTTACATAACTGTTATTGAGACACATACAACATTGGTAACTAAAACTCTTGAAGTTCTTCAAAATGGTATTTGTTTATAAATATTGCAGGTACATCTAGTCAGGCAGCCAATCAGATTCAACTTAACATGCAGTCTTCATCCATCAACCAATCACCATTAGCGACACAGAGATTACAGCAAGCTAGCCAGTCACAGTCTGCTTCTCAGAGGTTGAAACAGCTTGGAATACACACCAGTATAGCTTCCAGAAACAACACACCAACAGCTAGTCCTGTCACCTCACAGCCTCCTATTGGTAAATGTTGTGGCAATATTGCCCATGCTTTACAATAATCATTTCTTAGCTTTCATGTACAATATGAATAAAGCTTTTATTAAGAAATTAAGATAAATACTAACTTGTTAAGAAAGATTTACATAAAATGTTTATTTTGTTGAAATAATTATATCATAATTGTAAAGCTTTCACAAATTATTTAACCTCTTCTGTAGCACAACTATTTGGCAGCCCACCATCAGCAAGTGCTGGTGGAGTTCAGATGTTACCCCAGCAACAAGCAGTTAGCACAAGAACACCTACACATACCCCAACACCCACACCTCCACCCTCCATTGTATCCCCTCCTCCACAGAACACAGGCTTGGTGAGGAAGTCAAGCCTTACAGCAGAGTCCTCCACCATACACCATATGGCACAAACAACACACCAGGCTAATGTTTCTAGTATAGTACAAGGTGAGTTTATCTACTTTGTACAATTCCTTTCCTATTCCATTTCTTTCACAAAAATTTCCCAAGCTAAGTGGTTAAGTTCACTTACTAAATTAATTAACCGTCACTGTCAGTGATTGGAAATAAAAAAGAAAAGAATAGAATCTTTCATGTTGTTTAATCTATCCAGTTTATGAAATGTTGGTGATTCTACTCAGATGCCTGAAACTATTGTAATGAGGAGAATCCACTGTCTTCCTCTGGTAAATTAAATTTGAAAGTTAATGAGAATATATTTCTATGTAGAAACCAAGGAAAGCAAAGGTATTTATTTGTTTTGTTTTTTCCAGAAGATATTGTAAACTTAAGTACTGAAGCTTCAACCAGATATTTCTTTCAAGTCTCAATAATGTTATTGTTTGTAATAATAGATATCATTTGTTATTTTTTGTTTTGGCTGATTTTTTTGTCCTTTCATGCAACTACATTAGTCTCTATCCCAGCATAGAAAAAAAACATTCCTTAATATAAAAATTAAAAGAGAAAAAATTACTTAAACGAAAGGCAAATTGCTTTGAAGAGTCTTACTGTGTTGTTTTGAATTGCATTATCATGATTATTTATTTATTTTCCCCAATGTTTTATGTGTATAGGTGAAGGTAATACATCAGTATCAACGAGCATCAGTCATCAGCCACAGGGTGTGGCCAATATCAACATTGCCAACATAACAGGTATACCACCTAACATTAACATACAGAATCTCACTGGCCTGCCGGGTATGAACATTGCCAATCTACAGGGACTACAAAACATGCAGGTATACAATTATAGTCTTGTTATTAGTACGACTTTTCAAAGAAAGATAAGAAGGAAGTATTGCCATGAACGTAAAATTATTCTAAAACAAAGGTTTTGAAAGCTATAACCTCTTTTTAAACATTCCTTTAATTGTTCTATCTAGCACTGAGAAAAGTGAAGCATGCTGTCGGTGTACAAGTGTTGTAACACAGTTTTATCAAATTATAATTATAACATTATATCAGTTAATTCAGTTAATGTATCATGTAATTCAGTTTATGCTGAATGTTGTTATGTATACACTTAATCTGTATGATTTGCTGTCACCTTTTATCATTGAAATACCTTACACTTGTAATATTCAGTTCCAGAGTTGAAGCAGCAGTAGTCCATTACGCTAATATTGTATAGTCAAGGTTTAAACATATTTAGTGTTTATGGGATTCTTTATGATTAATACACTACACTTTTTTGGAGGGGCCTGTGTCCATGCCTAGACTGTTAAAACACTTGTGAGGATAAGTAATCATAAGATACTGACCTATTTCAGAGAAAGGCATGAACTTGCTTATGTTTGCTGCAACATGTTTATTTCAATAAATAAATAAATTGAATAAATAAATGTATTGTTTCGATGACAACAGGTATCCCTGTCTTTACCTGGAGGAAGTATAGCAGTACCTATCAGTATGATAAACACTAACTCGGCCTTGTTACAGAATCAACAAGGAATTCTAGGAGTTTCTTCTGGCGGTTCCTCATCTTCTAATACACCTGTAAGTATTGTACCTTGTGTCTTGTATATGTGGATTTATATGTGACTATTATAGAAACAAAAAGTTTGACTATGTATAGAAACAAAAAGTATTAAATGACTATGAAAACAAAAAGTATGACATTACTCTGTATAGAAGCAAAAAGTATGTTGTTGCGGCACCATTATGAAAATTTTTTAACCATCAATAACTTACTATCTGAAGTATGCATAGGAAATGTTGTGTTGTCATTATGAAGAGGCTGATTCTTAAACTTGATACTACATTTTTAGAATCTACTCGGTTTTAACAGAATTCTAGGTTTCCTCATGTGTTGAGTTTTCATGGATAATAAAGCAAATATTAAAACCTTGTATGTGATAAGAGTGTATTTATTTGTTGTTGTATTTCCAGAGCGGTGTAACAACAGTGATGTCTGTGAATCCTAGTCAATCAACTGTTGTTTCCATGGTAACTCAATCATCAGCACTGTCTCATGCTGTAGCTACTACATCACATATTGTCACAGGTAATATATACATGTATATAATCGTCATGGTAACTCAGGTGGTAACTACAGTTGCTAACGAGCTTAGAATTTCTAACCTTACCTACATGTACATATAAGAGGTACATGTAGCTAACAAGCTAGCTTATATGAAGTGTTGGTGGTTTTACTCAGATGTAAAATAATATTATGAAAAGATTCTTTCTGTGTTTTCCATTTATGAAGCTTGACAGTTGTTTTATGAGTTCACCATCTGTCATCACTGTGGGTTCAAGACATGGCATTCTGTTAAGTCATTTTACAAGTGTAAGTTGCTTAGGTAATAGATACAATGTATCAATTCTGAGTGCATTGTTGTAGAATAATGCACGGTTTGAGTTCAAATGCGTAGTAATATAATCACGAAGGCCGATAGGCCTGAGTGATTAATTACAAAGCATTTGAACGAAAATTGTGCATTATTATACAATAATGCATGAAGAATTAATATCTATTTCCATTCTAACACGTCAAGAAAAAATATAATTATCATTATAAAGTTGGACTTTATGTTTGGTGGTTAAATTTGTTTTCGCCTCAGAGTTTGCAATAGAAACGTTCTTTAAAGGCTGTTCCAGTGGGTTGAAAAAAACTGTCGTTTAATCTACCCTGTGTAGAAACATTTTGAGAATAACGAATTTTGAAAACGTTAATAAATTTTGTTTATTTATTTTATTTCACTGACAACATTACGCTATAATTTTTCAAGCGAAATACAAATTATTAAAAGTAAAATAATTGTAAAACTTAACTTCTTTGCGACATTGAAATATCGTTCTCGATTTGATTGTTTTGCACGTGCTGTTTGGCGCTACATTGTGACGTCACGTAAACAACACTTTAAACGTCAGTACAGCGTTAACGAGTGAATTAAAGATATTGGTGTTCGGATTAATATTCTTAGTTAGACCATTTTCTTTCATTCTAGATAGTTTTCACAACAAAATTCGACAAAAAATGTTTATTATTTATCAGATTTTTCAAACAAAATGGCGCCCTTGATGTGGAAATACACAGGGAGATAATAAGAACGGCGAGTGCATTGTTGTAGAATAATGCACGCTTCGGGCCTTCTTTGCTTATATAGAAAAAATTCCAATAGTGTTAGAATTAAAATTCACACAATAAAGGGAACAGAAAAATTGTTACCTAAGAAATAAAATAAACTGATGGACATTAAAAAGTTTCAAATACATGTTGTGAAAAATATAGTATACTTTAAAGAATTCAATTTTATTTATTATTTCACTAATTATTTTCATCATTCATGAGATTTCAAACTTTAACAGTTATAAGCTTTGTTTTCATCTCTTGAAATGTATTACTTTTTATTTTACAGGGGTGATTAGTCAGTCCAGTAATGTCATACCAGGAACAAGTATGTTGTCAGTACCAATTAACTTGGCCGGTACTCAGCTCGTACCAGCTGGTCTCAAAGCAGGCAACCAGACAATAAGAAGTTCCTCATCCATACCACTCCAGCTACAGGTGTGTTGTTACTATATATCCCAGATCTTGATTGATTTAGAAATTAGTATATAGTCCTTAAAGGAAGTCCTTAAAGGGATCAAGTCATAATTAGTGTAGAGTATTTAAAGAAGTATTTGTGGCAGTGTTAAAGCTCTGGCCAAGTGAGAAGCCTGTTCTTTGAGACACAGATTATAGCAAAGAAAGTACTTGATTACATTGTGAAAGGATTTTAGCAAACTGCTAAGTCGAATCAGTTTCCCCTTTCTGCTGTGATTAGAAACCTCACAGAGACTTTAAATTTTTGTGCCCTCACTAAAGATTTAGATTTACCCTTGTCCGTCCGTCATTCCGCCTGTCTGTCCGTTCCCTTTTTATGTCGCACATAACTCAAAAAGTAGTTGACCTAGACTCATGAAACCTTACAGGAATGTTGATCAGCATGTGAAATTATGCACCTGGGTATTTTCATGTGGATATATGTGGTATTTTTAGAGTTATTGCCCTTGACTTAGTAAAAATTTCCAATTTTCAACTTGTGTCGCACGCAACTCAAAAAATATTTGACCAAGTCATGAAACCTTACAGAAATGTTGATCAGCATGTGTAGTTGTGCACCTGGGTATTTTTGTGTGGATATAATTAGTATTTTTAGAGGTATTGCCCTTGAAATAGTAAAATTTTGCAATTTTCAACTTGTGTTGCACGTAACTCAAAAAATATTTGACCTAGAGTCATGAAACCTTACAAGAATGTTGCTCAGCCTGTGTAGTTGTGCACCTGGGTATATTTGTGTGGATTTTTTTAGTATTTTTCGAGTTATTGCCCTTGACTTAGTAAAAATTTCCAATTTTCAACTTGTGTTGCACGTAACTAAAAAAGTATTTGACCTAGAGTCATGAAACCTTACAAGAATGTTGCTCAGCATGTGTAGTTGTGCACCTGGGTATATTCGTGTGGATATTTTTAGTATTTTTAGAGTTATTGCCCTTGACTTAGTAAAAATTTCCAATTTTCAACTTGTTTTGCACGTAACTAAAAAAGTATTTGACCTAGGGTCATGAAACCTTTCAAGAATGTTGCTCAGCATGTGTAGTTGTGCACCTGGGTATTTTCATGTGGATGTTTTTAGTATTTTTCCAGTTATTGCCCTTGACTTAGTAAAATTTTCCAATTTTCAACTTGTGTTGCATGTAACTAAAAAAGTATTTGACCTAGGGTCATGAAACCTTACAAGAATGTTGCTCAGCATGTGTAGTTGTGCACCTGTGTATTTTCATGTGGATGTTTTTAGTATTTTTAGCTCACCTGTCACAAAGTGACCTTGAACTTTTGCTTCAAATGACATCTCCTCATAAACCACTAAGCCAATTTCATCCAAACTTCACAGGAATGTTCCTTTGGTGGTCACCTTTAAAAATTGTTCAAAGAATTTAATTCCATGCAGAACTCTGGTTGCCATGGCAACCGAAAGAAAAAACTTTTAATATCTTCTTTTAATGAACCCAAAGAGCTAGAGCTTAGATATTTGGCATGAAACATCTTCTAATGAGTGTCTACCAAGTTTGTTCAAAATTGGCCCCGCCCCAGGGGGGTCATTGATTTTCCCTATATGCATATAGTAAAAAACATAAAAAAATCTTCTTTTAAAGAACCCAAAGAGCTAGATCTTAGATATTTGGCATGAAACATCTTCTAATGAGTGTCTACCAAGTTTGTTCAAATAAAAGCCCAGGGGTCAAAATTGGCCCCGCCCCAGGGGGTCATTGATTTTCCCTATATGCATATAGTAAAAACTTAAAAAATCTTCTTTTAAAGAACCCAAAGAGCTAGAGCTAAGATATTTAGCATGAAACATCTTCTAGTGAGTGTCTACCAAGTTTGTTCAAATAAAAGCCCTGGGGTCAAAATTGGCCCCGCACCAGGGGGGTCATTGATTTTCCCTATATGCATATAGTAAAAACTTAAAAAATCTTCTTTTAAAGAACTCAAAGAGCTAGAGCTAAGATATTTAGCATGAAAACATGTTCTAATGGGTGTCTACTAAGTTTGTTCAAATAAAAGCCCTGGGGTCAAAATTGGCCCAGCCCCGGGGGTCATTGATTTGCCTTATATGTGTATAGCAAAAACTTCAAAAACCTTCTTTGAAAAAATCCCAAATAGCTAGAGTTTAGATATTAAGCATGAAACATCTTCTAGTGAGTGTCTACAAAGTTTGTTCAAATTAAAGCCCTGGGGTCAAAATTGGCCCTGCCCCGGGGGTCATTGATTTCCTTATATGTGTATAGCAAAAACTTAAAAAATCTTCTTTGAAAAAACCCAAATAGCTAGAGTTTAGATATTAAGCATGAAACATCTTCTAATAAGTGTCTACAAAGTTTGTTCAAATAAAAGCCCTTGGGTTAAAACTGGCCACGTCCCAGGGGTGTCATTGTTTTTAACTATATGTGTATAGTAAAAACTTAAAAAATCTTCTTTTAAAAAACCCAATGAGCTAGAGCTTAGATGTTTAGCATGAAACATCTTCTTATGGGTGTCTACTAAGTTTGTTCAAATAAAAGCCCTTGGGTTAAAATTAACTCTGCATGGGGGGGGGAGGGAGAAGGTCATTGTTTTTCCTTATATGTGTATAGCAAAAACTTAACATCATAATGGATGTCTTAATTCCGAGTTTGTTCAAATAAAAGCCCTGGGGTTTAAACTGGCACTGCTTCGGGGGCCTATATACAGGTGAGCGACCTCAGGGCTCTTGTTAGAGTTATTGCCCTTGACTTAGTAAATATTTGCAATATTTAACTTGTGTTGCACATACATGTAACTCAAAAAGTTTATGACCTGTAGGCCTGAAAGTTTACAAGAATGTTGGTCAGCATGTGTACTTAGTTTTTTTGTGGCTTTATTCAGTATTTGTAGTATTTGCCCTTTACTTAATAGTGTGTGTTTTCATATATCCAGCTAGCTTACTGAGTGTCAGTGGTTCTACCCAGCTGCCTACTTAGACCTGATATAATACACTGAGAAGTACCTGTGGTCTTCCTCCAACTGTAAAGCTGGAAAGTCACCATACAATCTTTAAAGAGTAGGTGTGACTTAAAAAAAATTAAATTTTATAAATAAATATTGCTTAGTTATCCCCCACCGAAGGAATCGGGAGGGGGATATTGTATTGGCGTTGTCCTTCCATCAGCCTGTCTGAATTTCGTTTCCGCACTAGTTCTCAGCAACTACTGTCTGGAATTAAATGTAACTTTATAGGAACCATCAATACCGAGATGAGATGCACATATCATCGCCTTGTTACAGTCCGACCCTTCAAGACAGAGTTATGGTCCTTTAATAGTTATGCAGTATGCATCTATAGCAATAATATTTTCCGTGCTATTTCTCTGGCTGGAATTCAGTGAAACTTTATGGGAACCATCAATACCAAGAGGAGATGCACATATTGTTGCCTTGCTCCGGACAGACCCTTCAGCACAGAGTTATGGCCCTTGATTAGTTAAGAAGTATACATATAGAGGAATTATCGTTTCAGCACTATTTCTCTGCAACTTCTTGCTTGAATTCATGAAAACTTTGTGGAAACAATCAGTATCAATAGAAGATGAGCATATAGTCATCTTGCCCCTGTCAGACCCTTCAGCTTAGAGTTATGGGCCTTGATTAGTTATGCAGTATGCATATAGAGCAATAATCGTTTCTGTGCTATTTCTCTGCAACAACTGGCTGGAATTTAATTTAACTTTATGGGAACCATTGATACCAAGAGGAGATGCGCATATCTTTTCCTTGTTCAGGTCCGACCCTTCAATACAGAGTTATGGCCCTTAATTAGTTATGGGAACCATCAATACAAAAAGGCAATTTGCATTTCATTGGCATGTCCAGATTATACTTTTTAACACAGAGTTATGGCCTCTGTTATTACCCTGAATTTTTATCATGTACAAAGAATATTACTGTTTATGTTATGATTAATATATAAATAAAGTCTTATGTCTCCATTTGTTGTGTTAGTAATAACCAGTACTTGGCGGTGGATATAAATTCAACGAATGTGCTTGTTTGTTCATAACTATATTAATACTAAGACATACAGACGTAAGTTCATTGGTCATACTAATGGATACATATATCTTAGTTGCCAAAGTGTCAGTAGAAATGGTGAGGTTACAAATATGTTCCAAGCCATGAATCTGGCACATGTCAGTCAAGGAAGTGAACTTGTTTTATAAACTCTAAGCTCTGATTGAAGTAAATTAAACTATATTCAATCATCTAGAAATAAAACCGCATCATTATATAAGTTTTATGTAATACACTTTTTTTGTTGATATTAGGTATATAAATTGTCTAAATTTCAGTTTGGTCAGCAGGGCATTCAGTTTGTAAACTTACAGCAACAACCACGACAACAAATGAAGGCAGGAACCAGTCTTCAACAGAATCAAACCCTCACCCAAGTTGGTGTTAAACCCTCCACCTCTATACAGGGACCTCTTACTACAGGTAAATGTTACACTTACAACAGAGTCAAACCCTCACCCAAGTTGGTGTTAAACCTTCCATCTCTATACAGGGACCTCTTATTACAGGTAAATGATACACTTTCAACAGAATCAAACCCTCACCGAAGTTGGTGTTAAACCTTCCTCCTCTATGCAGCGACCTCTTATTACAGGTAAATGATACACTTACAACAGAGTCAGACCCTCACCCAAGTTGGTGTTAAACCTTCCATCTCTATACAGGGACCTCTTACTACAGGTAAATGATACACAACAGAATCAAACCCTCACCCAAGTTGGTGTTAAACCCTCCATCTCTATGCAGGGACCTCTTACTACAGGTAAATGTTACACTTACAACTGAGTCAAACCCTCACCCAAGTTGGTGTTAAACTGTCTACCTCTATACAAGGACCTCTTACTACAGGTAAATGTTACACTTACAACAGAATCAAACCCTCACCCAAGTTGGTGTTACACTGTCTACCTCTATACAGGGACCTCTTACTACAGGTAAATGTTACACTTACAACAGAATCAAACCTCACCCAAGTTGGTGTTAAACCCTCAACCTCTATACAGGGACCTCTTACTACAGGTAAATGTTACACTTACAACAGAATCAAACCCTAACCCAAGTTGGTGTTAAACCCCCAACCTCTATACAAGGACCTCTTACTACAGGTAAATGTTACACTTACAACAGAATCAAACCCTCACCAAAGTTGGTGTTAAACCCTCCACCTCTATACAAGGACCTCTTACTATACAGGTAAATGTAACACTTACAACAGAATCAAACCCTCACCCAAGTTGGTGTTAAACCCTCCACCTCTATACAGGGACCTCTTACTACAGGTAAATGTTACACTTACAACAGAGTCAAACCCTCACCCAAGTTGGTGTTAAACCCTCTACCTCTATACAGGGACCTCTTACTACAGGTAAATGTAACACAACAGAGTCAAACCCTCACCCAAGTTGGTGTTAAACCCTTCACATCTATACAAGGACCTCTAACTACAGGTAAATGTTACACTTACAACAGAATCAAACCCTCACCCAAGTTGGTGTTAAACCCTCCACATCTATACAAGGACCTCTTACTACAGGTAAATGTAACACAACAGAGTCAAACCCTCACCCAAGTTAGTGTTAAACCCTTCACATCTATACAAGGACCTCTAACTACAGGTAAATGTAACACTTACAACAGAGTCAAACCCTCACCCAAGTTGGTGTTAAACCCTCCACCTCTATACAAGGACCTCTTACTACAGGTAAATGTTACACTTACAACAGAATCAAACCCTCACCCAAGTTGGTGTTAAACCCTCCACCTCTATACAGGGACCTCTTACTACAGGTAAATGTTACACTTACAACAGAATCAAACCCTCACCCAAGTTGGTGTTAAACCCTCCACCTCTATACAGGGACCTCTTACTACAGGTATATGTTACACTTACAACAGAGTCAAACCCTCACCCAAGTTGGTGTTAAACCATCTACCTCTATACAGGGAACTCTTACTACAGGTAAATGTTTCACTTAGAACAGAATCAAACCCTCACCCAAGTTGGTGTTAAACTGTCTACATCTATACAAGGACCTCTTACTATACAGGTAAATGTAACACTTACAACAGAGTCAAACCCTCACCCAAGTTGGTGTTACACTGTCTACCTCTATACAAGGACCTCTTACTACAGGTAAATGTTATACTTACAACAGAATCAAACCCTCACCCAAGTTGGTGTTACACTGTCTACCTCTATACAAGGACCTCTAACTACAGGTAAATGTTACACTTACAACAGAATCAAACCCTCACCCAAGTTGGTGTTACACTGTCTACCTCTATACAGGGACCTCTTACTACAGGTAAATGTTATACTTACAACAGAATCAAACCCTCACCCAAGTTGGTGTTACACTGTCTACCTCTATACAAGGACCTCTAACTACAGGTAAATGTAACACTTACAACAGAATCAAAACCTCACCCAAGTTGGTGTTAAACTGTCTACCTCTATACAGGGACCTCTAACTACAGGTAAATGTAACACTTACAACAGAATCAAACCCTCACCCAAGTTGGTGTTACACTGTCTACCTCTATACAAGGACCTCTTACTACAGGTAAATGTTACACTTACTACAAAATCAAACCCTGACCCAAGTTGGTGTTAAACTGTCTACTTCTATATAGGGACCTTTTACTACAGGTAAATGTTACACTTAGTAGTGATTGTAGCATTAACCATTTGTAGCATTAACCTTTTGAGTAGAAGGGGAGGTAACCATTAGTAAAAAGCCATGATAGCTTACACATCTGTGCTGTCAGACCATCAGGATAAAGGATGAAAACATTATTATTATAAACATTATTATCATTAGTATTATATAAGTTATTTAATGCTATGTTGCTCTATATTTCAGCAATATTACCTACTCATGGTCCAGGGCAGCATGTGTTATCACAGATCCCTGTGGGTAAGAGTGGTGGGCCAGCAGGTGGTATTACAACAACATTAACACATCAACAACTTGTACAGCTTCAACCCCAGTTCCAGGCTCAACTACAGGTCAGTGATTTCATAAACTGAACCCCTATGTTTAAATACTTTTTTTCTAAATTCATAGAAAGATTGAGTTTATAGAGAAAAGTTAAAGTAATTTTAGTGAAGATATTTTTTTCTTCTGAATTGATGATTTCTATAAATGTGGAAATAAATTATGATAATAAATCGTCAGCAAAATATAATAAATTCACTTTTTGCAATACTTTTTAAATTACAATATTTGTATTGTAATTCAGGGAGATGTATCATCCATTTAAACTAATGCACACTTTATTATCTTGTGTGTTAGTAACTATATTACGAAAGAAATAGTGCGTGTTAGAGCAGCTTATATTTATCATATCAGAGGTTACCAGTCCTTTTGAGTTTTATTTTTCTAGGGTTACTTGTATTTTAAGCAATTTTATCATACTTCTGTTCGATTATGAAACAAATTACAAGTCCTGTCCGTGGAGGTATCCATTACTGGAGCCATTTGAGGAAAGATGGCCTTGACCCTAGTAGGGATCAAATCCAGAAATGCTTAGGTTGAAAGTTCGGCACCTTAAACTGTTAGGTCATGTCTGCCCCTACTATGTCACTGCTATTCTTATTTTGTAGTTTGTATTCTTTCTATAAAACATTCCAGTACATAAATTAAAGACTATAAATTTGAGGCTTTTATGTGTTGCCCATAGTATAACATATGTTTGCTTTTTTCAGGCATTTAAGAATACAAGTCAAGGACCCCAGCAACAACTTCAGTTTCACCAGATATTAAAACAACCTGTTGTACCCACACAACCTAACATATCATTTGGTGGGAAACCTAAAAACAAGAAGAGGACAACGCCCACTCCTCCAAAATAATGCATCATTCACTTTTGCAATAAACTGTGAATTATAAACAATCTTTGGGATGTTAAAGCTGTAGCCAAAATATTTCAAGAATATTGAACTTGAGAAAATGTACTAAGATTTTAAGAAAAGTATAAATATAAATTAAGTGATAATGGACGTTATGTGTGATTAAAGACATTTGCAATATTTATCGCTATATTTTGTCAAGCAGTAACGATATTTTGTCAAGCAGTAACGGCTATTTTTACATTTTTTTAACCTCTGTTTTTGGTAATTTAAGTGAACTGTACATGTAAGTGCTGTTTGCTATATGTAAATTACTTTCTTTGTTCACTTCACAATATTTAATTTTTTAATACCTTTACAAAATGTTCATGAAAATTAGCATGAATCTGGAGGTGTGCTGCTTTAAGGAAAACAGTCAGTGAGCATGTTGTTGTAGGATGAAATAATGAATACTGCAGATTTAAGTGAAAATTGCAAATGGTTATGACTGACTTTATGGGGAAATAATCTGGTTTTTGTAACAGTTTATTTGATTTGAGTGAGCGGTAACAATGGCTGACTTGAAATCCCTTACTACTAAATTAAGTGAGTTGAAATAATTGAAATTAATAGCTTCTCTCAATTAAGTGAGTTGAAATAAACTGCTAGAGACAATTATATCTTGTAAGGAATCTATCTATCTATCTTACTGGCTTACAGGAATACCAATATGAATGTTAACGCATGAAGTTAAAACATGGAGGGACACTTACCTTTCACCTCTTGTTCAGCTGGGATGTTACCACTTCATTGTTGTGTAAGATGATTTGAAAATGTGAAGAATGGAAAGTCTTGGTATAGTTTTGAGAGGTGTTCAATATCAAATTAATAAGATTTAGAAGTTAGTGATGTAAGATGTTTATAGTAAAGTTAAAATTTTGCTTGAATTGTACTTTGAAATTTACATTTTCTATCACTACTTTTAGATATGTTTTTATTTTAGTATGATATTATATGTACATTTTCTCGTAATTTGATTGTATTTATATGTGTTTTAAGAATGCAAAAAGTTTTATATTTGGCTGTATAAAGATACAGTATGAATTTTTTATTAATGTTTTTTTGTTATTGATATATATTCTTGATTGACTGTCTATTGCAGTGTATATTGTCAACTGAGGAATAATAAGACATAATAGATGAATGATTAAGCATTGCATGTTACTATTTATAGCTCATCAGAGCACATACTGCTCATGTGACCTGTCATGGACTGTTGTCTACAATTGCTTCAAATATCATTCAGAAATAACAGAACCAAAGTTGATAAAGCTTGCTGAGAATGTTTTTTGTTTGACGGTTAACTAAAGTTGTTCAATGAATACATTCATATTGAACCTGGGTCACAGATGTTGAAAATTGATTTTGAAATAGAAAATTTTAAAATCCTTTAAGTTAAGGTATGTTGTATGAAGCATTGTCTAATGGGCCAAATGAGTCTACTAAGGTTCATACACGAAAAATTAAAAAAAAATGATATTTTTTTTAGTAGCCAATCAGTCCCATGTTAAATTACTGTATTAACATCATGATCTAGATGTTCTCTATTAAGTCTTTGTAATTCATTGACCCTGCCTCCCGGGTGACTCTGTTTGTTATAGAATCATGTCGGAAAAAAAATAAAAATCTCCTCTGAAACAGCAAGGCAAACAACTTTGATATTCAGTTCATTGTTTTGTGTGATAAATCTCTCCAAAATCTGTACCTTAGTCAAATTTGGCTGTATCAAATGTGCTACTTGAATTTAACATAAAAACCATAAATGCCTTCTTGTTAAAAAAAATTGGCTTTAACGTTTAGAAACATGTATATAATTTGTTTCATGGTCAAGTTGATCACAACCAAGTTAGTTCAAATTTTAACTCTGCAGCCCCTTTGGGGACATTGGCTTGCTTTAGTACACTTTTTATTTTCTGTCATAGACAAAATTGGCTGACACTACAGATATTTAGTATCTTCTCACTTTGTATGAAATTCTCTTACTCACTTGGATCAAGGTCAAAGTCAGCTAACAATGGAATTTGTGCCCAACATAGAGGCTCTGTTTTTGGTATTTAAGATCTTTCTTGGATGTCAACTGTGGGTTGTGGTTTGACATCACTGGTCAAAATGAAGATCACAGAGGGTTAAAAATATTATTTTAGACTTTTATTGATACAGTTGTGGTAGAATTTATTGTAGAATTATCAAAGATCATTCAATTTGAAGTTACATTTTTTTGTGAGCAATTGTTTTATAAACATGTACATTGTGTAAAAATTGACATTATTGCTACTGTGATATTAAATAATATACAGTGAGTAAAGTTGCATTTGTTATTTTTACTTAATTTAAATATATTTATTTGTCTTGTATAAGTAACAATGTTTTAACATATCTATACACGGAGATACAACCATAGTAAAAGTATGTAGGCAAATATTGGGACTCGATGCAACTGGCGCAAGTTCCTTTGATTAATGAGCTCAAGTGTTCTTATTTTAGAAGACATAAATATGAAAGGTACAGTGTAACATTACAAAACTTAATAAAATATGTCTGTTTCAACTGTTATCATAGATAAGAGGATGTTATACTTTAACATTAACTGTACTGTACATTATAAGCTTTAAGGATTGCTGTATGGAAATACTAGTGAAATTGAGCAGCGGGTAATAGTGTACATTTATAAATGAGCCACGTCACGACAAAACCAACATAATGGGTTTGCGACCAGCATGGATCCAGACCCGCAGTCTGATCAGGATCCATGCTGTTCGCTATCAGTTTCTCTACTTGTTATAGGGTTTGTAAGCAAACAGCATGGATCCTGACCAGACTGCGCGGATGCTGGTCGCAAACCCAGTATGTTGGTTTTGTCGTGACGCGGCTCAAATGGTCTTATATGTGCGTTGTTATTAACATACTGTTGTTTCAATTTTCAATAAAGTTTTGTCACAAACTAAAAAGAAGGTGATTTCATATCATGTAGGTCGTATGTGTATATTGAAACTTTCACTATGATCGAGTCAATATTGATGCACACGACCAAATTAATTCTATTTGAAAGACCCTGCTGTAACTAAGTCCAGCTCCCCCGGAAGATATGATCATTATTTGAGCAGCAACACCTAATTTTTCTCCATGATGCATATTATGGTCTCATTGGCCTCCCATGCATCAAAATAGTAAAAATCACAAAAATCGACTTGGATACATATTAAGTATCATTCTGTGAATTTTATAGGTCACCTTTTGACAGGTAATAATCTTTTAGGACACAATTGGTGACATGTCCTCGGTCCGTACTGTCAGTGCATGAAAGTGCGGATGGACCCTCATTAAGCATAGAACATAAACAAACGCATGTACATAGTAAGTGACTATATATTATCATATTTATAAGATAATCAGCTTGAATAAGATGTCAAACAAAATGCCATATGAACTTCATGATCTACTAAAGCGACTTGCTGTAATTAAAGGATGTAAAACAGTATGACTGGTGAAATATACTTCAGCTTTATAGGGAAAACTAAGAAACCTATTGAACTATTTGTCTGGAACGTTAACATATTTGCTTATATCGTATGTAATGACCATAATTTTGATCATAACTTAAGATTGAAAAATACTTGAAATGCGGAAATCACAATACTTAAACATTTGTAAATGATTTATGCCTTAAAAGTTTTTGTCAATACACGATATTGTGTATGCTAATGTTTTTAATCATGTATTTCTAAAAAAAAATATCATAAGATATACTTATTATAATTGATAAACAGCGTTTTGACATATATTACAGATGGTCAATACCTTAATGTGATATGGCAGTGGTTTCATTCAAAAAACCTTTTTTCACTGTAATTGTAATGTCTTAAATTTTTTTGTACAAATACTTCGGGTAGTGTAGGCTTTACACGTACGTTATTAAATCAAAAATATCTGGAAACCAGATAAAAGTATATATAAAAGTTAGTCCGTCAGAAAAAAATAAAATATGCAAGTCTTACATAACACATCAGTAACAATTAAAATGCAGGGCTTAGATCTATTCGATAATTTAGTGAACGAACGAACAAATTTATTTCACATAAACTATCAAGTTTCTAGTGACTATCCACTACATTTTACAATTTAACATATAGGTGTACATAGAACATACAATTGTTATAGATATCAAAACATATATTAAAAAGATAAGGATATAAAAAAGTATTGATCTCATATTCATGTTGGACAATACATAAATGGACATGTTTGTTTTGTATCATTTTATATATTATCAGAAGTAAATTAGAAACATCATGGTATCAATTCGTTTCGCGTATATTTATTAAAAACATGTTTTGCGTTTTAATGAATTAAATTTTAAAATTATCATAATATTAATCATACATAATTTCGCTTGCTTTATATTGTATAATTAGGTGGTCATGTCCCGGGATTACTATGTATCCAATACGATCCTTGATTTATCGGTTTTGCAAGTCGCCATCATGCACACATAAGTTTGTTGTGTTTTTTTTTTTGTTTGTTTTTTATTTCAATTATAAGCGATACGATTTGACAACAGCAACATTTATATCTACATTTTTTTCTTCTGAGAACTTTAATGAAAAATCTGCACCCCCACCGTCTCCTCAACTTGGATTACTGTATATATTAAATGTTGCCCTAGAGGTTGAAAAGAAATGTTTTGAGTCGCCCCCTGACAATTACGAAAACAATAGTTTGAGAAAATCCTTTATTCCAGTCTCATTTCGCTTTCACATCTTTTTTTTAAAGAATTTTTACGAGTTAACTAATCCTGACGATTATTATTTAAGGAGTATTAACTAACATCAGGATTACATGTAAGCATATTATTTTAATTATTTATTAATAATTGTTGTTTTTTTTTCTTTTGAGGGATAATTTTCTTTTTTCTTCGGGCTATTTTTAGAATACACCAGCTTCATAGCTGCTGCTGATATTGAATATTTAGAACACTTTACAAACAATGAGTTAAGCAGTCTCTCGGTATGTATGAGATAATTGTTTAAAAATTATATATTACGATATAGTTTTGGAGCCTTATAATTGTAATGTTATGTGGTTTTGTATGTGAGTATATCACAAGTAGACAACGTATAACTCTAACATAGTCCAACTAATTGTACTGCGCGACGAGATATTGTGCTATTTTCGTGTCTGGGCAATATCTCGCCTCTACGTACAACATAACAAGAAAAATATTACATACATTCGTATGTTATATAGGTACGATTGCATACTACTTTTTGTGAAGACTTTTTTTAAGTTTGCTACATGAAAGGTGTAATGTAAAATGAACATGTCATGAGATATAGCAACGGACCTATTCCTGTGGGTTTTTTTTCGCGCAAGGTGTACCGGTATTTTATAACACTTGCAACAATCAATACCAAATGGTTCTATTGCATTTCTATAGTGTTAACAGGTTATATTACTGTTTAGAGATACCAGATTTCAGGACTTTACACCTCCTGGACGTTTCACCTTTAGTCTTTACACCTCCTGGACGTTTCACCTTTGGTTTTTACACCTCCTGGACGTTTCGGCTACTTTTTTTTATAAATGATATAATATACTGTATGGATTAATATCAGTAAACTTGTTTGACATACCTTAGTTGTTACACCTATATTGGATTATATTGAGATAACTCAATATCATATAAATTTGCATGATAGACATTGAGAGAATATTTGCTTTTTGAAATTTTAATTAAGAAATTTTATTTAAAAAATGATAATCTTGTTCAAATAAAATTAACCGAATATGTATCAATAATTTGAATCAATGTAATACAGTATGGAAAACAGATAAGAACAAAATGATCAGATTTACTAAATTTTATTCAGAGTCAATTACTATATCTACAATGTATGCACTATACAATAACATAACATTAAAATAAGCACTGTTATTTTCATCATATAATTTTATTTCCTATTTTATAAAAACTAATAAGAACTACAAGTTACATTTGTACACTCTTCTAAAGGTGCTAATTTAGTAATTAATGAGCCAGTGTTTATAATGCTTTATTCAAAATTGTGTCTTGGGGTGAAACATCCAGGAGGTGTAAAGTCCAAACACCCCATAATACAACTCTAGAAGAACTAAACACTGTGTCCATTTATTATTTAACCTTATTCTGACAAACACTTACTGTGACAACAGTTTAATACAACAGTAAATTAAATATGACTAAAGTGTAACAACATAAAAGGTAGTTGTACCAAATAAAGGACATCATTACACAAATACAACATAAAAGTAGCTAGCAACTGTGGAATATCTTTTTTTTTTAAATTTATTTTAAAAGTTTTCACATATTACTTTGCAAAATACAGCTAACAAAGCAGCAGAAATAAATTAATTTTCAATAAAATTACAATGTCTATTATTTACTTTTAAAAAATCTTTCATTTAAGATATTACATACAGGTTTTGTACACTTGACTAGTGATAGAAAGTCATGTTAATTTTAGCAGAAACTCAGTATTTTTGCCTGTATGTTATTGTTTACAATAACCAATAAGCATTTGATCAAATGTTAATTTCCATATAACATAATAATAATCTGCTGTATAACTGGTTTACTTAATACCTATACAATTAGAAACAAGAGCTGTAGGTAGGGAAGCAATGCTGGACTATTATTAGTGCTTGACAGTAAAAAGTTAACAAGGGAATAATTATCATTTAAAACCGTGTTACAGTTATAGGCCTTGAAGAGAGTCCTATTATGCTC